TTGCTGCGTCTGCCTTAGTTGCTAAGCTTGTTGACTTTGCTGCGCGCTGTCGTCTAGACTACGCCGCTAGGCTGGTTGCTGAGTCTGATTCTGTTTGTCCTCCGTCCGTCGGGGGTGAGTGTGCTCTTAGCACGGACGTCCTTGAGGACAGGCAGGAAGAGTTCCAGTGTTTTGCTGCTACTTTGCCTCATCTCGTGTCCACGCTGATTGCCCCTGAGGGAGACCCCGATGTTAAGATTGTGAATTGAACAAGTGATTAGATTAGAGCAACAACCTAGCATACATGGTTGGAAGGAAAGGTTGGAAGAGAAGGATGGAAGGGGAGGATCAAAGTGACCATAGGTTGGATTGACCTCACTTGGGGGGGTGAGGGAACCATAGGTCAAGTGGGTTGGGTTGCCCATACTTTGTAGAAGTGAGGCAACCCTAGGCCCACTTGGCTTGGGGGAATCTCAATTGTGGGAAGTGAGGTACCCACAAGTCAAGAGGGTTGCATTTGGGGGCTCCACCACAATTGGGTGGATTGGCACCCCAAAGTGCAAGACTACACCCAAAGTTGGGTGTAGTCCCAACCCAACTGTACACCACAATTGGTGTACAGTCACATGTGTTGGCATGCTACACAATATATATTTTAACACAACCCCTTAGCATGCTAACACAAGAAGAGAACAACCCCTGAGTCAAGGGGCACCCGGGCAATTAAGGCCAATGAGGCGGAGGAAAGCAGAGTACGCGGGGCGAAGGAGGGCCTTAGTGAAGATGTCGGCCAAGTTGGCCTCGGTTGCAATCTTGCGAACGGCAATGAGGCCCTTCTGGACGAGTTCGCGAACGAAGAAGTAGCGGAGTTCGATGTGCTTGGAGCGGGCGTGATAGACGGGGTCCTGAGTGAGATGGATGGTGCTGGCGTTGTCGCACCAGAGAGTGGGGCACGTCTGGGGCGCGCCAAGCTCTGCAAGAAGGAAGCAGAGCCAGCGCGACTCTTGGGCGGCCATGGTGCCAGCGTAGAGCTCTGCTTCGCAGGTGGAGAGAGAGATAGCGGAGGAGCGGGTGGAGCGCCAGCTGATGAGGCCGCTGCCAAGGGTGAAGCCGTAGCCCTGGGAGGAGCTGCGGTCCGGCTGCGTGCCGGCCCAGGAGGAGTCACTGAAGCCCGAGAGAAGGGGACGGGAAGGGCTGCCGAGGGTGAGGGCAAGGTCCCTGGTCCCGCGAAGGTAGCGGAGGACCCGCTTGGCAGCTTTCCAGTGCTCCTCAGAGTGACAACCGGTGCCGACAAAGCGAGCGAGCACGCTGATGGGGTAGGCGAGGTCGGGGCGGGTGCACATCATTGCGTACATCAAGGACCCAACGAGCTCAGCATAGGGGTGGGGGGAGGAGGTGGGGGAGGTGGGTGGAGCGAGTTGGTGACCAAAGGGGAGCGGGGTGGAAATAGGCTTGGTCTGCATCATGTCGAACTTCTCCAAGACCTGGCCGATGTAATGGGACTGGGAGAGGGTGATTGTGCGAGCAGGGCGGTTGCGCGTGATGGTCATGCCGAGGTAGTGAGTGAGGGCGCCAAGGTCCTTGCACTTGAGCCGCTGCTGCAGGGACAGCTTCACCTGCTCCATGTCAGCCTTGGTGTCAGAGAGTAGGATCATGTCGTCGACATATACCAGAATGAAGAAGCGGCGGGGGGAGGAGCGGATGAAGAGGCTGGCGTCGGAGTGGAAAGCAGAGAAGCTAAGAGACCCCAAGGTGGCAGCCAGCTTCGCATGCCACTCACGCGCACCTGCTTCAAGCCGTAGACAGGGCGACGCTGCTGCCAGACAGTGTTCTCAGGAAAGGCTGCGTGGAACCCGGGGGGCCGCCGGAGGAAAATGCGCTCATGCAGGTCACCGTGCAGGAACGCATTGGAGACGTACATGGAGTCGATTTCCATGTCGTCACGTGCACCAATGTCCATGGTGGCGCGAAGGGTGGGTGGTTTGGCGGTGGGGGCGTAGGTGAACCAGTAGTCTTCACCCCAGGTCTGCGTGAACCCCTTGGCGCAGTAGCGGGCCTTGTACACAGGTTCCTCGCCCGGCAGCTGCTTCACCCGAAAGACCCATTTGCCGTCAGCGAGATTAGCGCCGGCAGAGAGAGGGACATCGACAAAGGAGTCGTTGCGAATGAAAGCCTCACACTCCAGCAAGATCGCTGCTATCCATTTATCCGCATCAGGGCAAGTGACGGCTTCCTGGAAGGTGGAGGGGGTGAAGATGGTGGGGGTAGTGGTGGCGCCAAGGACGGGAAAGCCCAGGAAGTCAAGGTAGAGGGCGGCAAGGAATGGAGTGTGCTTCCGAATGTTAAGAAACTCCTCACGGGAGTCCTCAAGGAGCTGAATGGAGGCAGGAGGAGGAGCCCCAAGGATTTTGTCCATAGAGCGGGTATGGATGTAAGGGAGGAGGAAGGGGGAGGAACGTGAGCTGACACGACGCCGCTGCTGCCGCTGGTGCTGCTGAAGCTGCTGCCCTTGTTGATGCGGATGCGGCTGACCGTATTGGTGCTGCGGGTGCTGAGGCTACTGTTGCTGCTGCTCCCGCTGCTGCTGCTGCTGCTGCTGCTGCTGCTGTCCCGGCTGCCGCTGCTGCTGCTGCTGCTGGCCTGGCTGCTGCTGCTGCTGGCCCGGCTGCTGCTGCTGCTGCTGTCCCGGCTGCTGCTGCTGCTGCTGCTGCCCCGGCTGCTGTTCCGGTTGCTGCTATTGCTGCTGCTGCTGCGGCTGCTGCTGCTGCTGATCCGACTGCTGGAAGGAGGGAGAGGGAGAGGGGGAGGGAGGGGGGGGGAGGGGGTGCGGCCGAGTGAGCGGGGGAAGCGGGTGCGGCAGGGCCGTAGACATCGGCGGAGGAGGAGGGCGGGAGCGGAGCTGCGACGGGTGGGAGGAGAGGGGCTGGAGGGAGAAGGGGCGGGAGGATGGTGTCAGTCCAAGCAAGGGGATGAGTGGGAGGAGGGAGAGGATCATGGGGAGGAGTGGAGTAATAGGGGACGGATTCGTCGAAGACGACGTCGCCGCTGCGGATGAGGCGATTGGTGGGAGGGTGGAGGAAGAGGTAGCCTGGGGAGTCGCGATTGTGCCCAAGGTAAACGCATTCCAGGGGCGCGAGGAGCAAGCTTGCCAGCGGCGCGGGAGCGGTCGGCGGGTGGGATGAGAACGAAGGCCTTGCAGCCCCAAACGCGAAGGCCGGCAGCGTCGGGTTTGGCGTTGGACCAAAGCTCTGTAGGGGAGGAGGAAGGATGCTGAGGGTGGGAGTGGAGATTAAGGAGAAGAGCGGCGTGGAGGAGGGCATAGCTCCAGAGGGAAGGAGGGGTGGAGGCATGAGCAATGAGACAGCGAGCAATCTTGGTGATCTCATGAATGCGGCTCTCAGCAATGCCGTTCTGCTGAGGGGAGTGGGGAAGGGTGGAGGTCTTTTGGATGCCGTAGGTGGCGCAGTATGTGGCAAGGGTGTTATTGATGAACTCACCCCCACCATCAGAGTGAAGGCGGCCGATGGGGCGTTTGAAGTGATTGCGGCACTGTTCGGCCCAGTTGATGACCACTGCCGGCACCTGGTCTTTTGTGTGAAGGAAGAAGGTGGTGGAGTACCGGCTGTGGTCGTCAACGAGGACGAGCATGTACCAATGCCCCTGGCGGGAGCGGATGGGATAGGGGCCCCAGAGGTCCATGTGCACAAGGTCAATGGGGGCGGCGGCGAAGGTGGGATGACTGTGGTGGGGGGACTGTTTGAGCTTGCCGTGAATGCATGAAGGGCATGGGGGAGAGGGGGAGGAGGGGAGGGGAGGTAAGACGGGAGGAAGGCTGCGGAGGAGGCGAGAGGTGACTGTGGTGCGAAGGGCGGTGAAGTTGGGATGGCCGAGTTTGTGGTGTAAGAGGACAGCAGGGTGGGAGAGGGCAGTGAAGGAGGAGGGAGATGGGGTGAAGGAAGGAACGGGAGGGGAGGAGGAGGATGGTGGGGAGGGAGAAGAGGTTACTTGAGTGGGAGGGGAAGGGGGAAGTAAAGGAGGAGGAGGTGGACCGGTGGAAGCACCGGCACGAGTGGTGACGTGGCAGAAAGATGTGCGAGGTGTGCGGAGTGTGTAGAGGCGAGTGCGGGGGCAAAGCGGAATGCGGAGAAGGAAGCGACCAGAGGAGGACTGGTAGAGATCACAGTAATTGGCATAACCGGGGTAAATGGCAGTGATACCAACACCTTGGAGCTCACGGTGGGAGAGGAGGTTGTTGCGAAGAGTGGGGATGTGGAGACCTGTGACCTTACCGGAGGGGAAGGCAGTGCAAGGGAGGGTGGAAAGGTGAGTGCATGGAATGGAAAAGCTGGAATCAGCTCCATGAACCTGTGTGGGAAGTGGTAGTGGGGTGAGAGTGCCAGCATCTTTCAGTGCGGTTTCAGTGGCTCCACTGTCAAGGACAAAGTCCAGGGTGGGAGAAGAGGGAGGAGGGGGTGGGACGGGATACTGAAACGAAGTCTCATTGATAGCAGAGGGATACATGGTAGCGACGGACGGTGCAACACTGATATTACCAAGGAAACTACCAGAAGCGTCAGGAACACTGGGGGGGGGGGGGAGGGGAGGGAACCCCGGGGGGGAGGAGGAGGAAGGGAGGTATGAGCGGCCATGGCCGCCGTGCCGAAGGTGAGTGGCTGCTGCTGCAAGGGTGGGGGAAGGAAGTGCCGCTGCTGCTGCGGCGGTGGCTGGAAGAACTGCGGCGGCGGCGGCGGCTGCTGGGGCTGGAGAAATTGCGGCTGCTGCTGCTGCTGGTGGAAGTACAGGTGCTGCTGTTGCTGGTGCTGTTAAAACTGCTGCAGCTGTGAGGGTGGGGAGAGGGTAACCATGCGGAGGTGAGCAGGGAGGAAGGAGGGGAGGGTTTGAATGTCCACTAAGGAGGGGTGAGGTGCGACCGAGTTCCAGCGAGGAGGGGTGCCAGTGTTGCCTCGATCAAACCAGGCGTCGTCGAGTGCCTTAAAGCACGTGGTGGGGGGATGGCTGGTCTAGCCGCAGGGGGTACCAGCATGGGGACCATGGCGGCGCACATATGTGCATGGGGGGAGAGTGCCAGGGCGTCCGCCTCGAGCCACAGCACCACCAGAACAGGAAGGTCCTCCAGCAGGGGCGCTGCCAGTACCACCTCCACCAGCACCACGGCCACCACGGCCACCACTACCACCACCGCCACCACCACGGCCTCCATCACCACCACCGCCACCCGCTCCACGGCCTCCACTGCCGCCGCTGCGACCACCTTGGTTGCGCGGCTGCGTAGCGTTGAGGGAGGTGGAGGAGGAGGACTGGGGGGTGGTAAGGTTGACAACGGGGATACGGAGCTTGACCTCCGTGTCAATGATCCACTGGACCACGTCGTCGAGGCCGGCCATGGGGTTGGCCTCAGTGAAGGCATGGAGGCGGGACTCGTAGTCCGGGGTGAGGTTGTAGAGGAGGCGGTGGATTTGCAGAGGCTCGGGGAGGGCAGCTTGGCGTGCCGCAAGGGGATCAGCGACCTCCTGCATGCGCCCCACGTAGTCAATTGCGCCATCACAAGTGGCGAGGGTGATGGAGAAGTACTCCTGGAACAGGGCGCCGACAGAGCTGATGTCGCGACGCTCGAACATCGCCTGGAGCTCGGCCCAGTTGAGGGAGGCGCGCATCTCGCGAGCTTGGAAACGGCGCATGAGGGTACCAGGAAGTGCGCCGAGGAGGACGGTGCAGGCGCGGTTATCGGCAGTGGCCCATGCGATGCTCCGAGGGAGGTAGTCCGCCATGGCCGTATTGTACTCATCAAGGAGCGCCAGGCGATTGGCGCGTTCCGCTACCGCGAAGTCGTGGTTATGTACCGCAACCTCATGCTCCGCCTTGCGGATGAGGTATTCGCGGCGATCGTGGAGAAATGCGGCATCGGCGGCATCCTGGAGCGCTAGGGTAGTGGCGATCTCCAAGGTGGGTTGAGTAGGAGGAGGACCAGGAGGAATGGGGGGTGGAGGGGGTTCGCCGGGGTGATTGGGTGCCGTGGGCTGGAGGGCTTGCGGGCGGCGGAGGAGGATGTCGATGACGATATAGGGTCCGACGAATGCATCTTGGAGAACACGGCGGATGCTCCCGACGAAGGAATGCTAGTTGATCGCCGAGCGGTCCGCGGCAAGCTGAAGCTTGTCGACGGAGGAGGCGTCAATGGGAGGAGGGAGAGGGGGAGGAGTGGTAGCCATGAGGGGCGACGGCGGGTGGACCCGCCGCAGCCTCGAGGTGGACGGCGGCGGGTGGACCCGCGGCGGTCAAGGGGGAGGGCGACGGCGGCTGGACGCGCGGCAGCCGAGAGGGAGGAGGGCGGGGGGGGGGGGGGGGGGGGGGGTGCTACTGCGGGGAGTGGAGGTCTTCTCCGGCTGCTGCTGCTGCAACCGCTGCTGCCGCTGCCTCCGCTGCTGCCGCTGCTGAGGGAGGAGGGGGGGGGGGGGGGGGGGGAGGGGAGGAGGGGGAGGAAGATGGTGGATGCAGCTGCTGTTGCTGCAGTCGCTGCTCCTGATGCTGCCGCTGTTGCTGCTGTGGCTGCTGAGGTGTCCCGGCTGCTGCTGCGTGGGAGGAGAGGAGGAGGAAAGGGGGAGTGGGAGGGAGAACGCAGGTGTAGGTGTGGGCGGGGCTGTTGCTGCCAATGACGCTGCTGCTGAGGGATGAGGCGGCTGCTACGAGGAAGGCGCGGCGGCGGGATACGCTGGTGGCGACGAGGGAGTCGTGGCGGCGGAATGAGCAAGCGGCAACGGGGAGGGCGCGGTGGTGGGATGCGCGGGCGGCGACGAGGAAGGCGCGACCGTGGGATGCGCGGGCGGCGACGAGCAGGTCGCGGCGGTAGGATGCGGGGGCGGCGATTTTTAGGTCGCGGCGACGGGATGTGAGGGCGGCGACGAGAAGGTCGCGGCAAAGGTCGCGCGGGCGGCGACTTTAGGTCGCGGCGGCAAGGGGTGCAGGCGGCGACGATAAGGTTGCGGCGGCGAGGTGCGCAGGCGGCGAGACGAAGTCGCGACGGCGGGTCGTGCAGGCGGCGACGCGAAGTCGCGGCGGCGGGTCGTGCAGGCGGCGACGAGAAGGTCGCGGCAGCGAGATGCGCAGGCGGCGACGCGAAGTCGCGGAGGCGGATCGTGCAGGCGACGACGAGCGGGTCGCGGCGGCGGGATGCGTAGGCGGCGACGGGGGGGTCGCGGCAATGGGGAGCGCAAGCGGCGACGCGATATCGCGGCGGCGGGACGGGAGGCGACGACGGGGCGTCGCGGCGGCGGGATGCGCAGGCGGCGCCGAGGAAGGCGCGGCGTCGGTAGGAGGAGGCGGCGACGCGACGTCGCGGCAGTCGGAGGGGCAGGCAACAACGGGGAGTCGCGGCGGAGGGATGCGCGGGCGACGCCGAAGTAGGCGCAGCGGCGGGAGGGAGACAGCGACGGGGGGTCGCGGCAGGGGGAGGAGGAGGCGGCGACGAGGCGTCGCGGCGGGATGCGCATGCAGCGCCAGAGAAGGCGCGGCGGCGGAAAAAAGGGGGGGGAGAAGAGGGAGGGGGGGGGGGGGGGGGCAGCGACGGTGTGTCACGGCGACGGGGGGCGGTGATGCACTCGGGGCGGTGGGATCCGCAGGCGAGGAGGGCGCAATCACGGCGGAGGGAGGAAAGAGTGGCGACGACGTAGGTCGTGCCAAGGAGGTGCTAGGTTGAGCCACACGTAGGGGGTTTGTGGCTGTGGGGTGGGCCCATGGGGGAAAAAAAAAAACTTTGAGGGAGAGAGAGAAAAGGCTTAGGAACAACTAGCTCTATACCATGTTAAGATTGTGAATTGAACAAGTGATTAGATTAGAGCAACAACCTAGCATACATGGTTGGAAGGAAAGGTTGGAAGAGAAGGATGGAAGGGGAGGATCAAAGTGACCATATGTTGGATTGACCTCACTTGGGGGGGTGAGGGAACCATAGGTCAAGTGGGTTGGGTTGCCCATACTTTGTAGAAGTGAGGCAACCCTAGGCCCACTTGGCTTGGGGGAACCTCAGTTGTGGGAAGTGAGGTACCCACAAGTCAAGAGGGTTGCATTTGGGGGCTCCACCACAATTGGGTGGATTGGCACCCCAAGGTGCAAGACTACACCCAAAGTTGGGTGTAGTCCCAACCCAACTGTACACCACAATTGTACAGTCACATGTGTTGGCATGCTACACAATATATATTTTAACACCGGATGCACCAGACATCCCGACTCCTCGATCGTACGCTGAGGCGATCGAGGGTCCCTACTCCTCTCAGTGGCAGTCACCCATGGCACAGAGATGGCTTCCTCAAAGTCCACAGGCACCTACGTCGACGAGGTTCCCCCACCTGGGGCGAACATCGTCAGTAGCATGTGGATTTTCAGGGTGAAGCAGCCGCCGGGTTCTCCGCCTGTCTTCAAGGCGCGTTACGTGGCTCGAGGCTTCAGTCAGCGGCAGGGAGTTGACTACTTTCAGACCTTCTCTCCCACCCTGAAGATGACCATTCTTCGGGTGCTGCTACACATGGTCGCGCAGCGCAACTACGAGCTTCACTCTCTTGACTTCACCACAGCTTTCTTGCAGGGCAGCTTGCACAAGGAGATCTGGCTGCGCCGCCCACCTGGCTTCACTTGGTCGTTTCCTCCTGGTACCAAGTGGAGCCTCCGGCGGCCACTCTTTGGTCTCCGCCAGGCGCCCCGTGAGTGGCACGACACACTGAGGACTACACTTGCGGCTCTTGGGTTTGCTCCTTCCACAGCCGACCCGTCGCTGTTTCTGCGCACCGACACCTCTTTGCCGCCATTCTACATCCTTGTGTACGTCGACGACTTTGTCTTTGCCACTGCTGACACTGCTGGACTAGCCCACGTGAAGTCCGAGTTGCAGAAGAGACATACGTGCACAGACCTGGGTGAACTGCGCAGCTACCTTGGCTTGCAGATCACCCGGGACAGAGCATAGTGCACCATTACCCTGACTCAGTCACACATGGTGCAGCAGGTCCTTCAGCGCTTCGACTTCACGTACTCCTTGCCTCAGGCCACTCCTCTATCTACTCGCCACTCGCTCTCAGCTCTGCCTTCGGATGAGTCCGTAGAGCCGAGTGGCCCGTACCCAGAGCTTGTTGGCTGCCTCATGTACTTGATGACCTGCACTCGACCTGACCTTGCATACCCTCTTGGCATCTTGGCACGCTATGTTGCTCCTAGGAGACACTGACCAGAGCACATGGCTGCAGCGAAGAGGGTGTTGCGCTACTTGTGCAGCTCGTCGGGCATGGGGCTAGTGCTTGGAGGGCGAGGTCGAGTGGTCCTCACAGATCACGCAGACGTTTCTTGGGCTGACGACCAGGCTACGCAGTGGTCGTCACAGGGTTACACCTTCAGCCTTGGTTCCGGCTCTGTTTCGTGGCAGTCTACCCGCTCGTCTTCTGTTCTCGGCTCCACCTGTGAGGCCGAGATCTACGCGGGGGCCATGGCTGCACAGGAGTTACGCTAGCTCACCTACCTGCTGAGTGACCTAGGAGAGGCGCCTCGTTTGTCTCCAGTCCTGTACGTAGACAACAAGGCCATGCTGGCCTTGTGTCGGGTGCACAGGCTGGAGCACAGAACAAAGCACATTGCTCTTTGCTACTTCCTTGCTCGTGAGCTGCAGCAGCGTGGTCAGCTGCGCCTTTCTTACGTGGCCTCTGAGGCCAACACTGCTGATATCTTTACCAAGGCACTTCCGCCTGGTGATCATCAGCGTTTCTGTACGATGCTAGGTCTTGTGCCTACTTGGCCTCACTTGCTCACTTCTTGACCTTGCTTGTATTGTGATCTTTCTATACCTGCACTTGCCTGTTTACCTTTATATATGATCTTGCATGTGAACTGGCCTTTTGGCCTTGCTCTTGTGCTCGGATTATGTGGTGACGTTGTGATCCACCCTGAGCTTGCTTTGCCTTGCTTGACTGGTCTTGTGACCTCTTGTTCTCCCCCACTTTGCCTATGGGGGTGTGTCAAACTCATATCATATTGCTTGTTTAGGCTTTTGTGGGGTAGACACTATGGGGTACAGTTTCCTAGGGTTTCCTACTTGTACCCCACCTTGTGCTAGTTCATTCATTCCTCATTCTTTCACAAAAAGCTCTGCCAAATCGACGTCGCCAACGCCGTTCTCTACGCTCCCGTTGATGCCGAGATCTTCGTCGAGCAACTGCACGGGTCTAACACAGACCCCAACCAGGTCTGTCAACTTCTAAAATCCTTGTACGGCATCAAGCAAGCCCCGAGGCTGTGGCAGCAATATCTTCACGCCCGAATAATTCGCATCGGATTCAGCCAACTGCCGCATGACCAAGGATGTACCGACTCACGAAAGGCGCCGACTACATCCTACTCATCGTCTACGTGGACGACTTGCTTTACATCGGCTCAACCGACATCATTACAACCTGGTTCGAAAGGGAGTTGCAGCAAGGCCTCACACTCACCGTCTCATCAACAGTCACGCAGTACCTGGGGCTAAACATACAAGACGGGGAAAATGCAATCTACCTCAGCGCTGCAAAATACGCCGATACCATCGCCAAGCGCTTCGGACCAACCCCAACCGCCGTCACCACACCGTACCGCTACATCGACGGAAACCACAAGGAAACCTCCGCTCTGCTCAAACCTGCCGACATACATGACTACCAGCAAAAACTGGGATGTCTACTCTTTGCAGCAGTTACCTGCTGACCAGACCTATCGTACTCAATAAGCCAACTCACCACCTACCTGAAGAAGCCTGAAGCGGATCACATGGCCGAACTAAACCACGCTCTTCACTACCTCGTCAGCACTCCGAAGATCGGCCTAGCCTACCACAAAAGCGGAACCACGAAGCCTAAGCTCATCAGCTACGTGGATGATAACAACGCCGATGACTCCGATAACAGGCGATCGCGCACCGGCTACATCTACCGACTCGAGCATATCGGGCCTATCTCGTGGCAGTCGAGCAAAAAAGAGTTAACTGCTCTCTCTTCAACTAAAGTATAATATATCGCATTGTGCTCAGCCACCAAGGAAGGATAGTACCTTCGCGAACTGCTGGAAGAAGCGAAGCTGGCCCAGTTACCCAGCTTCTGCGACAACCAATCAGCAATCCGCTTAGCAAACAAGAACGGGTTCGCGAACCAAATGAAGCACATTGCCATGCGATACTTCTTTGTGAAAGACGAGATCGAGAAGGGGAGACTCGAGTTATCCTACTGCCTCACATCCGAGATGGCAGCAGATTACTTGACCAAGAAACTCGGAAAGCAGAAGTTCGACAAGGCCACGTCACCAGCAACGACACTCCAAAAGTGAAGGGGAGTGTTGGAAACAAGTAATTTAATGCTTCGGATGTGTCAAAATATCGAACTGCAAACGAGGCACGTTCCAGCGAAGCAACGGCGAGTCAACAAAGGAGGTTGACAAAACGTAACAGCTAGAGGTTACACGAAGGTCAAAGGTCAATGTCCTTTGACTTGATGACAGGCAGCGCGACACCAAGGACACAACTGACTCGGTATTGAGCAATTGCCCGAGTCGTCGCTGTATCGAACCGCAACAGCAACAAAACAGCGCATCTATTCGTATTCTCTATAATCTTATAAAAAAACCTTGTATTACTTTGCTATAACCAATCTCTTGCTCTCACACACTAGTGCGAGGTGGTTCAATAGTTCACTAAGAACGCTTCTGCGATTACAACATTCTTACTCAGGGTCTTAGCCTTGAAAAGATCCTAAAGGCATTTCTCAGCCCAACAGTTTCGAATTCCCCTGTACTCATATCTATATTTGCTATATTTGCATGTTTTAATCATCTCGAGCATTTTACATTCACTCTGCTATTGAGGTCAAGGGCCCACTACAACTACCTAGACATGTGTGAACCTTCCTGAGGTGATCCTAGGGGCGATCAGTTTCTGATCGCAGCATGGTATGAGAGTGACTCGGGAATCATTCGCACTGCCACCTCCGAAATCTTTGACGGAAAGTGGCATCAGGCACATGCTCGCGTGTGAGAATGGTCGGAGGATCTGGTGGTCAGACGTATCTGATGGCCGAAGTGCAGCCCAACCCGGCTGTGACAAGCAAGGAAACAACAACGATTGGAACCGCCGTCCTCGCATAACGGATATTGTGGGCTAGCGACACGGAACATCCTTGCAACCTACTCAATTGACGTCAAACGGCCAGAACGCCACCCCGCACACCTCCTCCCTCAATACAAACGGCTCAACCCCCAAAACTCCCCATCCCAGCGAAGAAGCAATTCTCTCTGAACAATCAAGGTTCCTGAGTATATAAAAGTTAAAGGCAAGTGTGTGCTTTGACGGCAGAGATTTCTACACCTGGAGCTTCGAGCTGGAACTCCTGCTGTAGAACGCTCAGATCTTTCACTACTTCAATGGAAGTTACGCGGAACCCGCTGAAGATATCGACGACACCAGAACGAGGTACTACAATGAGTCGCCGGCAGAGCAGTTGAGCATTCGTTCATACAAGACCTCGCCTGCTCCAACCCCCGACGCCTGGCGCCACCTCAACGGCGTCTATCAACCAAAGGATTCGATTTCTTCGGGCCGCCTACTCTAGCAGCTAGTGGAGACTAGAATGGCCCTAGGGGAGAAGGCCAATAGCTACATTAATCGTTGTCAGAGCCTCCGCAATCAAATCGAGAAGTTGGGAAGCAACATTTCCAAAGAAATCTTCATGAATATTTCGCTTCAAGAACTCGGCCCGGAGTGGAGGTCCTGTAAGGCGTTGCTCCGACAGCAGGGGGTCATCTCCAAGGCCGCCCTTTGCACTGCCCTTCTTGTCGAACAGAGGGACATGGATCAGCAGCGACCAGCGCCATGACAAGACCGGGAAAGCCTCGCCTTCTACGCCAAGACACTGAAGAGCGAAGGGAGCGGCACCTTTACTGCAAAATATGCAGAAATTTTGGGCACT